TCTCCCCTGACCCTCCCACCTACTCCATGTGTAGCCATCCTGTCAGGGTCAACATTTCCCTTCCACCCCGTCTCTCTATCAGACTTTTGAAAAAAAAAAAATAGACCCCAAGAAATTGGAATTGCAGGCCAGCAAGATGGCTCAGCTGCCAAGCTTGAGGACCTGAGTTCAATCCCCAGGACCTACATGGTGGAATCAAAAAACCAATTCTCGCAAGTTGTCCTCTGACCTCCACATGCAAGCTGCGGCAAACAAATTCTCTCTCTCTCTCTTTCTTCTCTTCTTTCTATCCTCTTTCCTCTCTCTCCTTTCTCTCTCTCTCTCCTCTCCTCCCTTTCTCCTCTCCTTTCTCTCTCCCCTCTCTCTCTTTCTCTCTTTCTCTCTCTCTCTCACAGACACACATTACATTTTTAATGGAGAAATTCTAATTTCCCAGAAGTCTCATGCTCAAGAAGAGGAAGGCTGAGGGTCTGGTGCCAACCGGAGGGGAGGCTTGTCTCTATACTGCTTCCTCAAAGAAAGATTTCATCTTTCATGTCAAACTTGTTACACCACATTACAGGGAAGACGGATGGAGACAAGGATAGATGGATTGATGACGGACAGGGCTGTCACTTGTGCATACCCCTTACCTTCTGTTTAACCCCAATCCGCAGGTCAGAGCTCAGAAGATGCACCTCATTGCTCCTCTTTCTGACATGGCTACACTAAACCCATCTCCTTTCCTTGCCTTTGGGTATTTCTTGTCTTCTGACTTCCATTAGCCCAGCTTCTTGGGGCTTTTGTAACTGTCCTGGCAAGAATGAAGACATTCGAAGGAGGCTCTTGTGCCCCTCACTTCAGCTATCAGAGTTTTGAGACCAATGTCCCCCAAGGATTGGCATTTCCCCAGGAGTGTCATGCTGGGAGAAGAAAAGGGACTGCAGCCGTGTGCCTGCCAGTCGGGGTGCTTTGTTTTCTGGACCAGTTTCACGAAGCTGTGGCAGCCTGCCTGACCACCTTGCAGGAGAGCTGGAGCATGGAGAGGCAAAGATGGTCAATGAGGGACAGTGTCTTAGGGTTTCTATTGCTGTGAAAAGACACCATGACCAAGGCAACCCTTATGAAGGAAGGCATTTCATTGGAGCTGGCCTACAGTTTCAGAGATTTAATCCACCATTCTCACGGTGGAAAACATGGCAGCACATGGGCAAACATGGCGCTGGAGAAGCTTCGAGTTCTACATCTTGATCCACAGGCAGCAGAAGCGACAGTGTGCCACACTGGACATAGCTTGAGCATATAACATCAAAACCTGCCTCCATAGCGACACATCCAACAAAGCCACACCTACTCCAGCAAGACCACACCTCCGAATAATGCCACTCCCTATGGCCAAGCGTTCAGACCCATGAGTCTATGGAGTCCATTCCTAGCTAAATTACCTCAGGCAGGAACACGCTGACCAGAGAACCACTTAGCTACACCTGTCAGCAAAGGCAGACTTAGGTTGGGAGAGGTCACTAGATCTGTTCATTTGTTCCATTGCAGCTGCTGAGTGAATCCCCATTCTCTGCTTTTCACTATTACATGCCTGTTTCATTGTCCTGTTAAGGACAAGTGGCCAAGCCTATCTTGCCAGGACTGTGGGGGCCCAGGATCTGACCCTAGAGACTCACATAACAGATGCACTGCTTTCCCCAATCCTCTGCTTTAAGGCTTTTCCACCCAGCACCAGCCTGGTGGTGCTTGCAGCCTGCAGCCTTCCCACCCTAACTTCCTTGTAAGAATACTTGCAAGTCAGCCACAGTTTAATCTTTCACAACCTGGTCACTACCAGCAGCCTGGATGCCTCCAGCCACCTTCCACCCCTAAGCCCTTGATAACAAGATGCTCCTGTATGTTGTTACCTGGTCCGTGGATGGTCCCTGCCGGGTGGGGCTCCAGGCCCCCTGCTGACTCCTAAAGGAAAACAGTATTTGAGCCAGGCCAGTTTTCTTGATGTTGCAGAATGCCCCCCAGACTTATGGTTTAGTTCGTCTGGGTGGTTAAAACAGAGTGCCTGGGGCAGTCAATTTTTAAAGAACAGTTTCCCTTTCTACAAGTCTGGAGGTTGGGAAACTCCAGGGCACACAGCCAGCATCTAGAAAGAACTTCTTTGCTACCATCCCAAGGAAGGTAGAGGGCATTTGAGAGGGACCAGACTCATGCTACAGCAAGTCATTATGCTAACACATCTGTGTCTGAGGCAGTGCCCTCAGGCCCTAGCTCTCTTGATTTGGAGAAGTTTAGATTTGGGTTTATTTTTTACCTTTTGTGTTTGTTTTTGTTTTCTCTTTTCTATTTTGCTTTTATTTTTTTTAAGACAGGGTTTCTCTGTGTAGCCTCGGCTGTCCTGGACTCGCTTTGTAAACCAGGCTGGACTTGAACTCACAGAGATCCACCTGCCTCTGCCTCCCCGAGTAGTAGGATTCCAGGAGTGTGCTACCACTGCCCAGCTCATTTTGTTTTATTTTTAATAATGTGTATGTTTCTGTGTGTGGTTATTTGCACATGAGTGCAAATGCCCGTGGAGGCCAGAAGAGGATGGTCAGATTTCCTGGAGTTTGTGGATATGAGCCACCCAGCACCTGCCGTACTGGCCCATGGCTTTTAACCATTGAGCTATCTTTCCAAAGCCTGGTTTGACTTTTCAGACAGTCTCATGGCACAGCCCAGGCTAATTTGAATCTCACTGTATTACCCTATTTCCTGGCTGAATTAGCTCTAAATGCACCAAATACTTGAAGAAAAATTCTTGGGAGAGTCATATGCCAGAATCTTTTTTTTGCAGCAATTTAAGCTTGATTTGGAATCCAGGCCTGATGGTGCACACCTTTAATCCCAGCATTTAGGATGCAAAGGCCTGTAGATCTCTGAGTTCAAGGCCAACCTGATCTACAGAGCATGTTCCAGAATAGCCAGGGCTGTATATTAGAGACCTCATTCCCCCAACAACAACAAAAAAGAGGTTTGCCTTGTGGTGAGAGGTGGCTAAGTGGTTAAGGCTGCTTGTTGTTTTCTCAGAGAACCCAGGTTTGGTTCCACACCAAACAGCTCACAACTATCTCTAACCCCGGCTCAAGAGAACCTGACTTCCTTTTCTGGCCTCAGTAGGCACCTGAATATGTTTGCCAGGGAGCCAGGGTAGGGCACACACAAAAATAAATCCCAAAATGTGTCTGTTAAAAATTTTAGAAATTATGTACTCATCTATCTTTAGGCTTATTTACAAACTCCTGCCCAAAATATCACATCGCCTGCTCACCCTTGAAGGTTAAACAACCTCTTCTAAAAATGTATTAATCCTAAAAGTATCCTTTCTTAAATTACACGTCTTCCCTGGGTATTCTGGCCTACTAGTGCCATCTGCTGGGAAGTTACTGCACAGGGTTTTTGAGCACTTGCACTGGTCAGCGAGGTTATGGGGTGCAGCTTTGCTGGAGGAAGTGTATTGCTTGCCTGGGAGGCGCCTTTGGGAACATACAGCCTCCCCCCACATCCAGCTCAGTCTCTTTGCCCTGTTCTTTAGTAGCTGTGATCTCCCAGTTGTCCTGCCAGGACAGACTCTAAACTCTTCCTTCTGTAAGTTGCCTTGGTCACACTATTTTACAATAGCAACAGAAAGTTGCCTTGGTCACACTATTTTACAATAGCAACAGAAACGTAACTGTCTTTTAGGGGAGGTAATGAGAGTGTGTTCTTGCTTCTAAACACACAGCTGCCCGATTTCTACCTTTCTTAGTTGAATCAAAAAGCACTAAAAAATCTACAACTAACTTATTAAAATTGTGAACATCTCAGAATCAGCAGATGGCTCAGCAGGTAAAGGCGCTCGCTAAACCTTAGAACCTGAATCCCCTAAACCTACAATTCCTGCAAATTGACCTCTGACCTCCACATATACACACATACACACACACAAATGCTTTAAAAAATTAAGTAAACATTTCTTTCTATAGGCTTCAATTTCTAAAATGTCTGTTTTTCTGTTTGTATGAAGATTGACATAAATCACGTGGTCTGAATATCGCCAATATCCCAACACTGAGACACATGTATTATGGAGGCCTCAGACATGTATATCATACATACACCTACATACTATTAGCAAGTGGCAGCACTTTGGCCTGAAGTGAGCAGTGCAGGCAGGTATAGGCTGAACATCTCTTTTTGGGTTTTTAGCATCAGCCACTGTTGCCAGGTAGATAAGCAACAAGACACAACTGCTGAGTGAACTTTCCTCTTTAAAAGGAAAAGTAGGGGAAAAAATGGCTAGGTGTGGTGTCACACACCCTTATTCCCTGCCCTCAGGAGGCACAGGCAGGTCTACACATTGAGTCTCAGGCTAACCAGGACTACACGGTGAGACCCTGTCTTAAGTACATAAACTTCTCCTTGGAGGCCAGAAAGCTGGCTCTGCCCCTGCAGAAGACCTGGGTTTACTTCCCGGCACATTCCATGGCTCACAACGGCCCGCGCTCCAGATCCAAGGGCTGCCCGTGGCTGTGGCCCCATGGGCACCAGCACACACACACAGTGCACACAGGTTCACACACGCGCATACACACACACACACATACACGAATAAACAAAAAGTAAATCTTTAAAGGAACAAAAAGAACCCTCTTGTGGGAAATATCAGCAGCAAATTCATCACATTGTCAGGGGACAACTTGCAGGAGTGAGTTCTATCCTTCCACCATGTGGGCCCCTTTAGGCTTGATGGTGAGCGTTCTTACCCACTGAGTCAGTCATCTCTGAATTGCAGCCAGGCACAGCGGCACATGCCACCTTTAATCCCAGCACTCAGGGAGGCAGGTGGATCTCTGTGAGTTTGAGGCCAGCCTGGTCTACAAAGCAAGTCCAGGACAACCAAGGCTACACAGAGAAACCCTGTCTCGAAAAACCAAAATTAATGAAAATATCAAGAAGAATTCTGAAAGGATAATATAGAAACAAAGACTGTTTAACTGATTTTAATAACATGACATAAAGCTTCTAAAATTGGTATAATCATTATGCAAAATACATACATGAATACTGTCTTCTTTTAAAAATATAAAATAAATAAGCAAGACATGTGAAAATAGGCAAGTTTCCATTAATTAAATGAAAAATTTTTTAAAAGAAAGTTTTTTTCTTTTGTTTCATCTGAAGAAGGGAACTTATCATTTAAGACAATATTCAAGTTTATTAAACAAGGTAAAAAAAAAACTATTATAAAATGTTCAGCTTTCATCCGCCTCGAGGTTTATGTTGCTGCCAAATTTCGCATATAACTGCACTTTCAGGTCGGCTAACACCCGCTGGATGGACGCCACTCTGGACTCTAAGGCATCGATCTCCTCCTGCAAAGTTTTCTGGAAAAGAAACAACTAGCTTCAGTTGGATGACGTATGAGCACGTGGTCTGGAATAAGGGCAAGAATCTGAGGTGAGAAACTCTAAACTGGTCAGGAGCAAAATAACTGTAGTAAATGGATCAAAGCCCAAAGTCTGAATGTCTGCTATTTAACTCAGCCAATACTAGCTCATGGTCACGGCTGAATCCTCGGTCTCTGCTGAGATTTGAGCCTGGAGCCTCTGAAAGGGCAGCCAGTGCTCTCGACCTCTGAGCCACCTCTTCAGCCCCTATTTTAATGTGTGTGTGTGTGTGTGTGTGTGTGTGTGTGTGTGTGTGTGTGTATGTGTATGTGTGTGCATGATGCAATGCCCTGAAAGTCACTAGAGGGTGTCCCTGGAGCTGGAGTTACAGGAAGTTTTGAGCCACCTGTGCTGAGATTTGAATTTGGGGCCTCTGGAAGAACAGCAGTGCTCATTACTACCCAGCCATCTCCCCAGCCCCTTCCCAAGGTTTATTAGATGTACATTTAGCCAGTGGGAAGTTTTGTTTTAGAAATCTGAATTAGAGACTATCATTTTAACTAACATTTAAGCTAATGAAACAACAATATGAGGGGCAGCTATCACTGACTTCTCCCATCCTGGGTAGCCGGAAGCCACACAGGGTTAATTTCACATGCTCTCTCCACAGCTATGGCTAACATAGCAGGCCATAACCCCTGCCATAACCACATTTCTAATTCCCTCAAAACAAGTTCCTAAGACTGCTCACTGGAACATCACTATGGCACAATATCGGAAACAAACCAATGCTAATAAGGGCACAGAGGACACATCACTGTCCATCAATACAATATTAAGATGGCTTCAAACAAGTCACAAAACAGTGCTGTGCTGGGGACCTTTGTGGTTCCCGACTGGTGTGCCGTGTAAATGAGCATCTGATAGAGAAAATGCGCCTCAGATAATGTTAACCAACCCGTGCCTGAGCAGAGTTACACAGATGGAGAGGGGACAGTGAGGAGGAGCGGGAGGGGTGCTAACAGAAAAACGGGTTCACAATTGATGGTGGCACCAGATGGTGTGGTGCCCAGGGATTCCTTTTCACTTTATGACACACTCAGTGTTTTCAGCTGGAAGCGGAGCTCTGGGGGGCAGAAGACCACGGGCCAGTGCCACTTTGGCAAGTCCTGGAACCTCTCCAAGCCTCTGCCCCGCACTCTAAATTTTGCTAACAATGGATTGTTACTTGGATTAAATAAAAGCTCAGCGCCTCGGACCCTGCAGCAAACCCTCAAGTGTTAGCAATCACGAATTACTTCCCTCTACCTGTAATTATGCAGTCTTCACAATGATATACTTCTTAATTCGAGAATTGCATTTCTTCTCCCAGGGCAAGACTCCCACATACCTTTGCTTCTTCTAACATTTCCTGGGTTTCTTCTTGAGAGTGGCTAATGAAAACGTCTCCGATCTGGTAAGGTATCATTAAGCAGTCATCATCTGCCAGCATGATGTCATCACAAGCATCTTCTAAATTCTGGAGGTGTTTCTGTCAGGCAAGAGAAGGCCATGAAAACACGGTCAAGATTTCTTGACAGAACCAAGAGCAGGCACTTATGCAGGCACACAGGCTCTCTGGGGACCAGTGCACAGCAGCTTCTGTCACACATGGAGACGAGTCTCGTGGATTCACTTAAGAGGCAGCACAGCACCCTCAGGGTAGTTTTGGAATGTACCAGGCTCTTCTCTGTGGCAGACAGCAGCTGTGGCCACACACACTTCTACTTTAACAATTCCCCACGTGAGAATGGTACACCATCTGATGTCCTGACTAGAAGTAGAGCGGCCAGGAGAACATGAGAAGCGAAGCACAGGCCTCAAGGGTCACAGGACCTGCGGCAGCACATGTCCCTAAGACTGTAGGGCTCCTGGATCAGTGAGCAGATGTGCAGTTTTACCCCAGCCAAATCTGCAGGCATGGGGTGTAGAACTACACTGGGAAAACTTACACTGAATCCAAAGGCCTCATTCACTGTTACCGTGACTCTCTTAAGAACACAAATGACCTCCTCGATTGCCCAACCTGCAGCCCCCTATAACCATGCAAGTCAGGAGGCTGAAGCAGGAGGATTACAAGTGTGAGGATAGCCTGGGTTACATAGCAAATTGTAGGACAGTTTGACAAAGCAGGACCCTGTCTCAAAACAAACAAATACAGACTTTGCATTAACTAACTAGACGGTGTCACCGGGACAAGGAGACCACGAGGAAGCTGCAACAAGCTGAAACTAGCCAATGATTCAGGTCTAATGCTTACTGTACACAGAGGCTGACACTTGCCAATGGTTCCGGTTTAAGGCTTATAGTACAAACTTAGAGCACACGTATGAATCCAGTACCTTCTTCACTTCTATTTCCTCCTTTAGCTCTGTGATTCGACTCGTATTCCGAGCAAACTTGTTTATTTTCTGTTGATCTTCAAAAGTCACATTGACATCTTCTGCAGCCTGAAAAGGATGTTTAATGTTTTGTTTCAATGGAGCAGTTACAGGCTGGTGTCTTACAATGCTGCGATAACCAAGTACACTTCCCATCCTAAGGCAGCTGAGGGGAACAAGGCTCCGAGACATCACAAATGTTTCCTGCTTATGTTCATCACTCGACAATCTTTCCCATTATTCTACAGGATCATTCATGAACAAATGTTTGAAATATAGAAAGTGATTAATAAAAGTCCCAATAACAACAAAACATATTTTATAAAAGCCAGGTAGTGGTGGTGCACACTTTTAATTCCAGCACTCAGGAGACAGAGGCAGGTGGATCTCTGAATTTGAGGCCAGCATGGTCTACAGGGCAAGTTCTAGGACAGCAAGAGATACACAGAGAAAACCAAAAGAATAGTGATAATGATAATAATAAAAGCCAACTTGCCCAAAAGGCAGAATTTCCTAAGGTGGGACAGTTTCACTAAGACATCTCCAGCAAGCAAAATGTTACATGGTCAAACAGTCTCAGTGAACCTCTTACAGAGACTGTTTCTAAGGTAAAATGCCTATTGGCTCACTGTGCTGATCAGGAATAGGACCATTCCTCCAGCTTTCAATTTATACACTGGCGAGAGGGTCGCCATGCATGTCAACGGCGCTACTCCATACATTTAAACTCCAAATTTATGTTAAGGTTATGAATCCACTACAAGGCAGTAAGAACTGAGTTTCATAGATAATATTTGCAGGTGTGATCTGCAGACAAAGCTTTGTTTAGACAACAAAGTATCTATAAAGTAACGGAAACAGCTAACACTGCCTGAGCTCCTACTGTGTGCTAGGAGCTGTAATCCCCCAGTCTCATGATGGGGAGCGAGGATACTTTAGCCAAACCACACAGACAGTAAATAGACAGACTCTGATATTAATACAAGCAGTCTGTCCCCAGAGTCAATACGCGCATGTCCAGGTGTGCCGGGTCAGGAGCTCCTGTTCAGTTAAAGGATGTGGCAGGAAGTTCTTAGGCTGCTTCAGAATCTTATGGGGGCTTCAATATACTAGACGAGAAAATGAAATAGCAACCATGCCTTACAGTGTCTTTATATAATAAGAACACATGTGCTTGACAGTACCTTAAAGGAGTAAAAGGACTTGTGTGCAAAGCCAGGCCTGCTGCCTGAACGTCATGTACAGCTCAGCATGTAAGGCTTAGGCAGGTGAAGCTGGCTTTGGATACCTAAAGAGACCGTGTCTCCAGAAGCTCCTGGTGCTATGGTTAAGGGTGCCTGCTGCTCTTCCAAAGGTTCTGAGTTGGGTTCTTAGCACCCACACCAGGCAGCTCACAACTGCATGTAACTCTGGCTTCAGGGATCTGAGGCCCTCTTCTGGCTTCTACAGGCGTGTGCATGCACACACACACAAGCAAAACTAAAATCTTTCACAAGAAAAGCCTCTCAAACTGAAACTACACTAATATATAATAACATTTACAGACCACACGCCATTTTGGTATTAATAAACGCAGGGTCAGTAAGAATGGCTGGGTCTTCCGCCAGGAGCAGAGGTTAAGTCCACCACAGCTACACTACACCCATTCCTGGTCTCTTGTAGGCTACGGCAGAAGGTGTGTGTAAAACGTCCTCAGAGGTTGAAAGGTAACCTGTGGTCTCCAGAGATGGCTCAGTGGTGCAGGTAAGGAGACGCGTGCTGGAATTCAGGCCTCCATTCATCAGGCCCTCCTCCCAGAAGGCAACTCTGCACGCACTAGGCTGTCATCAGGCCCAAAGCCTGCGCTCAAAGAAGCCTTCCCATCATGGTGTGCCCAGGGGGGATGGATCCACACTGTAGCTTGTCAGCACAGCGGGGAGCACTCAACAGACACTGATGGCGAGAGAGACTGGTGATCTGGTTGCTTTGTCTGTGAGAATTCTCAATCTCCCAGACAAAGAACCATGAAGACGGCCTGCTTAGAGCCCCAAGCCCTAGAATACATTTACAGACCCATCTGTCACCATGAAGACTTTAAGGGCAATTCAGATGAGGCTCTAACAGGACCCGCCTTAGACTCTAAATTCTGATAGATCAGACTCACAAATATTTGGATGTCAAAGAGTGCTGGAAATTGGCTATTTTCTAGTTGCAGCCCTGCCAAACAGCAGCCACCAGCAGGCACCTGGACTAGGGGACCCAGTTCCTTGAAGTGGTTTTTCTCCCACGTTTAGGACTGTAGTGGGTGAGTTAAAGACATGGTGCTGCTTCATTCCGGGCCAAGGGGAGGTTCCCAGCAGCAGCTAAGAAACTGGCCCCTGTGACCCCTAAGGGCCGAAGCTCCTGGAGCACATCTGGCTCCTTTCTAAGGCGCTGGGGACTGACCCGAACCCTTCACATGCCTGCCAAGCATACTGCTTACAGCTACGCCCCGCCCCACTTCTACACTGCATTTTGGCAGGAAGACAGTAACTTCTAACTGGCGTGCAAGGCTATCAACTTGACTTAGTCCCCCAGATCATTCAAATTATACACGCATTGCGGGGGTTGTCCAACCTTTTGACATTGTGACGTGATGTCATCTACGAATGTGCTGGACCACATTCACAGCAGCTATCCTGGGACAGAAGGCTGCAAGGTGGACGTGCCTGGCTCATGTGGACCTGCACACACTCAGGGAAGGTGTTGATGGCTTTCATCAGCGTTTCCAAGAGCCCTCCAACTCCTGAGGGCTAGCAACTCCTGCCTTAGGCAGAGGCAGGTGCAGTGACTCCTGACGGTGGCTACCTCCTAGTAGTCGACGCAGCAGAAGGGATGGGCTCCAAGCCATGCATGCGAAACTTTGGGTAATTTGCTCAGTTCCCTGGAGCCACCCGTGATGTGTCATCTGTGAAATGAAGAAGGTATTTCTACCTTGCAGGGGTGGTTAAATGAATACCAAGTGCGCAGGGGCGCAGGTGTGCAATTACCCTTCAATGAACGCTAGCTAAGTACTTTGCCTGCTCCGCGCTGCTTCCAAAGCTCAGTGGGTAGAGTGCTCGCTCAGTACATTTACATTTCATCCCCAGCACTGTATAAAACCAGGCGGGCTGGGACAAACCTGCAGCCCAGCAGCCAGGAGATGGAGGAAGGAGGATTGACAGTTCAAGCTCATCCTCAGCTGCATAGTGAATCTGAGGCCAGCCTGGGCTACATGAGACCCTGTTAAAAGGAAATGAAGAAAGGGAAGAATGGAAGAAAGGGTCGTTATAGATGTGCGGGAATTCTGCAAGGTATAAGAGACATGACTTGCTCTAGATTCAAGAGAAAAGTAAAATGTCCTGAATCCTGACTATAACCCTGTCTTGGTAAGATCTTATGGAATTCTAAGAAGAAACAAACCATACTCTATTCCCACTTCAGATGGGTCCCCATCAAAAAATATTCTCGCCAATTTCAGTTGGCAGTCAAATCTCTTAAGACTTCCAGACCAGCCAATGCTGCACAGTGAGACCCTGTCTCAAAAAAATAAAATAAACAAAGCCAAGGACAAACCTCAATGTCTATCACGGAACTAAATGATATACCTGGCGGCTGGGGGCCCAATATAACAAGAGGCAAAGTGAACCTGTTTCCTACTTGGCTAAATCACCATGGCCCTGGACTATACTCTACTACTTGCAAAACAACTTAGAGGTGACAGACCACTTGTCCTAACTCTGTCAATGAGCCAGAATGGCTAAGCACCAACCTTCAGTTGTCACAGCACAAACAAGGACACCTTAGGATGTCTTTAAAAGCAGAATGAAAGAAATGGTCTTCAGTCAGATACTCTCATCAGACAGACTGACACACAGAGAGAGAGACACACACACAAGAGTTAAAAACAACCCTGGAATGAGAATTCAGTTTAAAACCCAGCTTTCCTTCTGAGCTTCAGTTTCCTCATCAGCTAAATAAAAAGTAAAAGCAAACTATCCCAGAAGGTTTAAATAACAAATCAAAATAAATAACATGCAAACACTAAGAACTGCAGGGAACACACTGGGAAGCCCCAATAGTTATCAACTGTTGTTGCTGTCCCTGTAAGTCCTTTCTTCTATTTAGAATATACTTGCACATCTAGAAACACTTTGGGGTTCTAAAACCCACATGGAGGTGGCTCAAAGTGTGACTAAAGGGTTGGACAGCCACGGAATTAGTTGCCTACCATGCAGGAGGCCCTGTCTTCACCCCACCCGGACACCAAAAGCCCAGTGTGGAGGCAAACACCTGTAATTCCAGCACCTGGAAGATGGGAGGTGGAGGCAGGAGGATCAGAAATTCAAAATCATCTTTGACTATATAGGGAGCTGTGGGCCAGTCCGGGCCACATACATGAGACAATGTCCCTAAAAAGTGTGATCAAATATCACACTGAGCCCTATTCGCAATTATCAGGTGTCCTTTTAAAATAATAAAGAGCTGTGATGGGGCGGGGGGGCAAAAAACAAAAACAAACATCACCAGACCCAGCATTTTACCAGACGAGTCACCAGGAGATGGCTAACTGTTAGATGCTGGGGGGCCAGAGCGTGGGGGCCCAGAGCGTGGGGGCCCGTGTCCTTCCTAAGTTCCTGGGGAACCAGCACCTTCCCTCGGGCCGACTGTCTCAACGCCAGTGAACATTGGTTTTAGCCCGAGGGGCGCAGGTGCAGCGAGCGTGGATGGACACGGGCAGCTCCGGGCGGAGCACAGAGGTGCGGTATCAGGCACCCCGGGGATACGGAGACCAGGTCGGTCCCTAAGGAGACTCTCGCCAGCTTCCCTCGCGGTGCTAACAGGAGCACCCGGGTCCCCAGCGCGGGACCGGGCACTGCGCCTCCCGCGGCCCCGGCCCCCCAGACGCCACATCTCCTCAGACCCCCGGCCGCCAGGGCCCCGCGTCTCCTCAGGTCCCCCGCCCCACATCCCCTCGGACCCCGGCCGCCGCGCCCACGTCGCTTCGGACCCCGGGCCGGCCACACTCACCGCCTTCTTCATGGTGGCCGCCATCTTGGACTGGACCACGGGGCGCAGGGGGAGACCATCCGGGCGCGCGTCCCACCCCCGAGGTCCCGCCCGAGCCCTGCTGACCCAAGCGCCCCTAAAACACAGCACTGTCTCCGCACCGCTTCTAGCTATGTCTCTGACCTGTGAATTCCAAGGGCAAGGACTCAGGAGGGAACTAGAACCTGGAAACACTTGGTACGTTCCAATTAAAGGGCCAGACAGCTTCCCTCCCAGCCGAGTGAGACCCACAGTCGGGCCAAGAGATTCCAGCCACAGGCAGCAAGGGAGGGGCTGGGTACCCAGCGGGGCGGACCGGAAGAAATTCCTTTTCCATTAATTCAACAAGCTTACCTGCAACCTAAAAAGGACCGGAGGCGTGGCTTCAGCGCCTTCGGTCACAGGATTTGCACTCAAGCATGAAGACCCAAGTTCGAGCCGAAGCACCCACCACATTAAGAACCCAGCTGAAGGCACCGGCATGTAGGCCACCCTTGAAGCCGGCCTTAGCTTGTATGCCACTGACCGCTACAGAGGACACAAAGGATGGAAGGAACGGCTAGGAGTGGATGAAGACAAAGGAAGGTTACCTCCAAAGGATCTAGGGCACTGGCCTTCCTAATGCTGGGACCCTTTGATACAGTTCCTCATGTTGTGGAGACCTCCAACCATAAAATTATTTTCTTCATTATGTAGATTTGCTACTGTTATGAATCATAATGTAAATACTTATTTCCCAATGTTCCTAGGTCACTTCTGTGAAGGGATTGCGACCCACAGGTTGAAAACCACTGATCTAGAGTACTATAAGCAACTCAGATGCTCAGATGATAGCTTACTGGAAGGTTGGTTGGTTAGTTAGTTGGTTAGTTATAGACAGGGTCTCCCTATGTAATCCTGCTCTGGAACTAGCTCTGTAGACCAAGCTGGCTTCAAACTCGCAGAGATCCTCCTGCCTCTGCCTCCCTCGTGCTGGGATCAGAGGTGTGCTCCACCACGTGCAATTCTTTTGCGTCTTTAAAGTGAAATTGACTCGACAATATGTCTTCCACTCACTCGTATATGTTAGCCTGAGAAGGCTGTCCACCCAAGGGCCTGATGGGCACCAGGCTTCCTCAGTAACCCCACCACTGTTAACATCCTTGAGCCAAGACTGGTGCCAGGAAACTCAGAACCCTGAGGGCAAACAAGTTGACAGCATTGGGGCAGGGGCCATTGTCTCATCTACTGAGCCAGAGATGAGAGACAGGGCAGGCTGGGCTTGAGCCACAACACAATGAGCCTGGTACTGGGATGGGTGCTCTTTGCATCTTTGCCAGTCCCTCCTATGGCTTCTCCAAGCAGCAACCCTTCCACAAGGGCATGCAGAGGAGGGAGAGGGGAACAGATCTCACCCGTCTGCTTAAAATAAGAGTCTCTCAACCTTCCTAATGTTATAACTGTTTAATACAGTTCCTCGTGTTGTGGTGACCCCCAACCATAAAATTATTTCATTGCTACTTCATGACTGGAATTTTGCTACTGGTGTGAATTGTGATGTAAATATCTGATAGGCAGGGTATCGGATACTCGGCCCCTGAGAAAGGGCCATTAGACCTCTCAAAGAGGTCATTACCCACAGGTTGAGAACTATTAGAGCATTAATGTATGTAGCCATTTGGGTATAGTATGTCTCCTACCGTTAAAATGCAGTCTTTGCTCACTGTGTCTTTATCATCAGGTTCTCTGGGTACAGTGTACTTGGACCCCTCGGACAGAAGTTCTAACACAGCCTCCTGAGGAATGTTTGCTACTTGCACTCTGCTACCTAGCAGTTGCACATAAAAAGTTAAATCTGAGCACCTGGGGTCACAGTGGTACAGCTTCTGAGGAGCTCATTTGTCTAGCACCTGGGCCCTGTAACCCTTGGAGCAGACTCAGAAGGCAGGGTGAGTATCTAGCTGCAGTGGACTGAAAGGATGCCAGGCCCTAGGGATCGTGGGGGTGCTGCATTGAGAACAGATAAAACGCCCCACACTCATGCAGCTTGCCCTCTGATGACAGGAGACAGACCACAGCCAAATAGTTAAAGACGGATCGTGTGTCAGAAAGAGTGACTAGCGTAAAGGCTAGTGCCAGCAAGGGGAATGCAGGAAGCTTTGTCATGAGAACTTCGCTGGGGATGCACGGGGAAAAAAAAAAAAAAAGAATAAAATCAGCTGGAAGCAAATGCATACCACAATGTTGTCCAAACGCATCCTAGCTTTTAGGCTGTGTCACACGGGGATAATGATTGTGCTTGTCATGAGGGAGTTTGTGTGGGGGTGCCCCCCCAAAAAAAACCCGCAGCATCGCTCTATGTTTCCTGTGCTTCGTGAGGAAGAGCATCCTTTCAGTACGGACCTTGCTTGAGTCTGAGTGGCTAAGAGTGGGCAAATCTCCCTGGCAGGAAATCATTCGATCCTGTGCCTGCAGAGGGCGCCCAAGGATCACGCCTGCAGTCTCCTTGCTTTCAAGTCCAGTTTCACTATATTTTGAATTTCTCTGCCTCTTATCCTGGGAATTTGTCTGTTTGTGTTTGACTCAAAACTCTTTCTAAGTTATTTATTTCTAAGCATTTTATTTTCAAACCTGACAAGGTTGAAATTCTTGTGTCTTCCCACCTCATGGTAGGGTCTAACTCAGATTCGGAGGCCAGGCCAGCCTTCCTCTCTGATCATTGTGTAACACTTTCTCACTAAGTCCAACTTA